ATAATCAAGTGATAATGGTGTGGTGGAACCTACATAACCTAAACGCTGTCTACGCTAAACATACTTTTGGGGGCATTTTTTCTATTTTTAATATTATTAAATATTATTTCAAAAATGGAAAACTATATAATATTAACAGACGAAACAGGAAAAAGAATTATGAACAAAAATGGTATTACATTAATACAAAATGTTGCAGGTAATTTATTTTCAATTATTTATTATTTTTTATTATTTTTTTTAATGAAAAGATTTGTAATCAATTGTTATTTTACCTTTCATAGTTTGTAGATAAATAAATTAAAGATTAATAATAATTTTGGATAGATGCAATTAGAAACAGAAAAAACCGTGACAAAAACATACAATATAGATAGAATCTCTCTGTATCATATGTATTCTTCTCTATTCTAATTCTATCCATAGTTTTTGTAATTTTATTAGGACGATGGTCGCACACAATGTAAAGCGTAAATGTAACGCGTGCAATGTAAAATTGTGCCAATAACGTATTTTATTTAATTTTATTTTCAATGTTGTTGAAACTCTTTACTTGTATAGTTTGCTACAACATTTTCTATGTATCCAACAATACGATTAGGCTTTTCTTTTAAATGTGTTTCAATTAATAACATTGCATAGTCTTCATCGTCAGATTCTTCCTAAAAATACGTATAGAATATAAATATAAACAATATTTTTAAATAAGTTAAGATATTTATGGAACATTTTGTAAAGATTCTTGTTAATAATAATGACTAATTGTATACTTAATAACTTGTAATTTAATAACTTGTTAATAATAATGAATAGTTAAAATGTTTTTGTTAATAATAATGATTTGTTTAAATTTACTACTTATAAAAGAAAGATGTATTATGATATAAAGCATTATATATTATAATACTTATCTGAATATTCAGCATTAAATTTTTCGCAAAAAAAACACAGAAAAATAAATTACTTTTTTCACATTTTCTGCCATGTTGTCAACTCAACTGTTACGTTAGTCGTTCACAAAGTCACATAAAATTGTATACTCCTAGAGTTAACTCCTACATAACCCAACTCTACTCTGACTCTACTCGAAGTAAACTTTATGAACGCACCCCAGGTTTCTCTCTGCTACTAGTATAAGGACACTAGAATCTCTACCTAGAGATACTTTTTGAATCGCTTTCCTCTCTTTTCCACAAATTATACAAAAAAGGGATAAAGATATCATAGAGTGTAGAAATTTTTTTTTACTACTGTGGCAGGATGAGGGGCGCTGTGAGGCCTAGAGCCGATTCTGTGTATAAACATCGTATTTTCTGGAATGTGTTTCTAACCTAAAGAACAGTGCTTTAACGCTTATTCACGCGATAGTTTGACTAGCTCGAGTTATTAGTGAAGCTTGTTCTAAAAGCAAATTGTCAATGAGCCGATGACCATGACGGAATGGTACCAAGCCAGGATTTTACGCTTGTGCGAGTTGAACAATGTCGACGAAAAGAAAGATATTTTGATGGATATCAAAATCAAATTTAGCAGTCTAAATAATCGAGATGCTGAGCAGGTCGCTCGATGTTTGGATTATAGGCCACTTTACTCACAATTAACCTCTAGTGACAGGTACGATGACGGATGAATTTTTTGTAATTCTCGTGGAACCAGTCAATCTTTAAAATTAACGTAAAGTATATAGTATGAAAATGTTAAATAGATGAGATATAAATGATTGTTCTATGAACAAAGTTAGTCATTGAAAAAAAAATTTATCCATAGTTTTAAAGCTGTATTTTAAAGCTGCTCTCAATCATAAGGAAAAATAATTCAAGTATAGAACGTTTTTTATTATCACTTGATAATATTAAATATTTATGTATAAATCAATAAAATGATGTATAAATGATTACTTTATGTATGTGACTATCTTCATAGGATACAATATAAAATTTACTTTTTATAATAATAATATAATATATCATCTCTAAAACAGAGCACAAAATTATTTAAAAATGAAAGAATTTAATTTAACCATTTTTTTATTACAGAGAAATTATAGAACAAATATGTGACATTCTGACCATTCTGTTTAGTGTGCTAGAACCTGGAGAAATTTATCAAAGATACTCAATTGAAGTGTCCGCTTTGATAACTAATCCAAATACTAGTGTGAGATTGCTTGTGCTACGCGAGTTTTTGCGTACAGCTTCACATACACAAAAGATATCTCAACTGCTCACAGATACCACTCTTCTGATCTCAATTATAAATAAAATTGGTGATAAGGATTTAACGATTGCCGAATATGCAATGAGCATAGTAAAGAAAATTGGACATAATCCAAATGGTTTACACATTCTCTATAAAGGTGAACTTTTGAGAACATTTGCCAGACTTTTGCAGAATGTCACTATTAGCTTTCGTGTTTATGAAGTTATTGTGGACATAGCCAAGACATCCAGAGAAGCTTTGGAAATATCAGCTCAATCAGGCTTTCTGAACAGTTTAATCAATCTATTAGAAAACGAAGATATACTACTTCAGCTAAATGCCTTGGAAATATTGACTCAATTAGCCATATTTGAAGAAGGTCTTAGCTATCTAGAACAACAAGAAGTGTTGAGTAAATTAGTTCAAAAAATAACACAGGCCAATGAGGATCCTTTATCGAATCTTTTGATCCCTGGTCTGATGAAGTTTTTTGGCAATGTCGCGCGTTATTGGCCCAATGAGTTGTTCTCCAGGTATCCTGTGATAATCACCGCGCTGTTTGAAGTGATAGACAGCGGAGACCAGAATATTCTTGGTCCCGCATTGGATACCCTGGGATTCGTGTCTGCAAGCATTGAGGGCAAGTATGCATTGCAAGCTCTTGGGGATACAATGGTCGGCGCTCTTAAGAAAATTGCTGAGATAGTGCAAAGAATGCCTACCGATTTAAGAATTCGCGGCCTAAATAACTTAGCCCTTATACTTGAGGTCAAGCAAGTCAATCAGGACAACAGAATTTTGTCTTTGACAAAATTGTGGTTTGATTCATTATGTGATGATCCATTAAGTATGATCGTAGCGATATGCAGACAGCCATTCGCTGATATTAGACAGGCCGGTTTGGAGGTGCTGGCGGTTATCAGCTCTCAAGTTTGGGGGCAAGAGTACATATCCGTTTATCCGGGTTTAATAGAATTCCTATTAGATAGAAATATCGAATTGTTCAAAGAGTGCAAGGATGCGAAGTACGAAGTGGTAAAATGTTTATCTCAAGCGGAACGAGACGTATTCGATGCGGACATTATGCAGAAATTTAAGCAATTTGTTAATGAGGGTCCATACTATGTTAGTGTTGCGACAGAAGTCGCAATAGAAGGTGCTTTATAAAAGGAAGCAATTTCTTGCATTATCATTCAATGTCGATATTAAAGATTGTATGTAACATACTTAAGCATTATTGCAAGAGGCGGATTAATATTTATTTTTTAATTTGTTCGCAAGAACATATCGGTTACCTTGGAAGAGCTTTCTTCAACTCGATTGCATTTATCATAAAACTGATCTTACTAAAATGCATACATTTATTTCTTTTTCTTTGTGACAAAATTAATGGAATAATTTCTGTTGACATTAGAATTTATATATGAGAAATGTATACATTGTTTTACGTATAACAGTATGCGGAGAAGTCTTACGTTGTTACTTATTTAAAACAGATTAAACAAATACAACATGTACGTAATAATGTTTGCAATATTTCACTTGTGTTTCGCATATCTTTACAAAACTTATATATATATATAACGTGTAAATAATATTGTATAAATAACCGTATGAGCATTCGGTGTATATTAAATATATATCTTAATCTCTATTGTATACGTTTTCGCTTTTTCGGTGAAAGAATCTTCAGCATACTGACTACTGGTGCTTCAAAGGTGACTGATACAACAAAGGACAACGCGAAAGATAATACTATTTGTCCCAAGAATGTTATCATCTAAAAAATAAAGTGTTTTATGACAATCACTGTCGTGATTCAAATTTTTTTAGAGTATAAACTTACCACTATATCTTTTCCCAAATGAAATGGAGAGTCTATATTCATAGCGGTTAACCGAATTACAAGTGGATGAACTAGATAAGCGCAGTAAGTCACTCTGCTAAACGGGTACAAGAATGGCCATGACAGTATTTTATTTACGTATCCTGAAAATATCGATTTTTTAAATAGTCGCTTAATAACATAGGACCACAAAAAAATTTTTGGAAATGAACTCAAATCAGAGTAGGTATTTCTTATAGATTTTGGGTCACTGAATCCGAATTCGTAAGCCATTTTGCTTCATCACGTCCAGTTTTTTAGATAATCGAGAAAAATGATGAAAAATCTGTGAAAATTGGAAGAAACATTTGAGGAAAGAATAAAAGTAACTATGACATTAAAATGCGATCGCAGAACTGATTTAAATATATTTTGGTAAGTTAAATAAAGTGCAAGAAATAACAAAAATTTTGCTTTACTAATGTTAAGTATTATAGTCTAACACGTCGTAAAACAAATCGACGTAAATTGTGCAACATTGTGCAACAAATTTTTTTGAAATTTATACTGATCCACTTCGTGCCCAACTTTGTACCTCACTTACCTAACTTATCTTCCAAAAGTAACAATTAAAATACATTTCTGAAAAGACCTAGTATAATTTACACAGATCGCCTGACTATTTGTTGCACAATGGTACTTTACATTGATTTGTTTTACGACGTGTTAGGCTATAATACCTAACATTAATAAAGCAAAACTTTTTTTATTTCTGGCACTTTATTTAACTTATCAAAATATATTTAAATCAGTTCTGCGACCGTATTAATGTCATATTTACTTTTGCTCTTTCCTCAAATGTTTCTTTCAATTTTCACAAATTTTTCATCATTTTTCCCGATTATCTAAAAAATTGGACGTGATGAGGCAAAACGGCTTACGAATTCGGATTTAGTGACCCAAAATCTGTAAGAATCACCTACTCTAGTTTGAGTTTATTTCCAAAAATTTTTTTTGTGGTCCTGTGTAATTAATCTAATTATTGTAATTAAGATTCAATAATTTATTAATGTCAAGATTTATTCTCACCTCCGTAGCCAGTACTACATGCTATCACGATCCATGCTAAGCTCAACGCCCATGCGCTGTGACTCAATGAAGAATATGCAGCGGCTGTAACAGGTGCAAGTTCTGCTTCATATAAACCGTAAAGCAAACTCAAGAGACAGGCGGCAGATAGAAGCCATCCTACAACGACAGTAGTCTTGGACATTTTCACTTTGCAATCAGTCTTAAAGAGGAAGTAGCCGACGGACATTCCAATCAGATAGGGACCTAATCTTGTCCACGGCTTGTCATAGATCTTATCGAACAGTGCTAACGGGTCGTCCGAGCTTGGCATGTGATTGTTGACTAAAGCAATGTAGCCAGTAGTTGCCCATGAACTGATCAATAGACTGACTAACGCGAAAGCTGCGATTTTGAAGTGATTCGTAGCCAGTATTAGTATGACTCCACCCACTATGTAGAACTGCGTATCATCCGCAAGGTACCAGCTCCAAAGCATACACTGTCAAGGTAGAATATAAATTCAAAGTTTTATCTTTAGAGATGGGGTAAAACTCGGAAACTCAAAAACAGGATGAATTAAAAAGAACTGATGCGAAGGATAATAGTAATTAATTCTTCACAAAAACTTTACAAAAAAAAAATAGATAATTTATAAATATTTTCTATCTTTTATTAGAAGAATTTTTATTTAATAAATTCTTCACTCACGTTAAAACATTTATTGAAGTTAAAAGAAAAAATTTAAGAAACCATTTGTCTGAGTCATGAGAATTTAGCTATTCTCAAGTCAGGAATTTTATATTATTGTTAGCAAAATGTTAATAAAATGAAACGCACCATTTGTTCGACGGGGAACCAAGTGTTGATATAAAGCAAATTTCTCCACCAATAATTGGGGCAATTATAATGATCTGCCGTGGGAGGCTCGAAGACAGAGTTTGCGTAAAAATGCTTCATGGTAATCTCGACTGTGCCCAGCACGAACATATACGGCGTAGTGAGTCTGCAAAATCTGTAAATAAGTAGGCCGAGGAACTTCAGACTGCCAGCAGCAAAGCCTCGCGTGCCCTGCGTGAGTCTTTTCAAGTCTCCCTTAGCATTAGTTCTGAAATACAGGAAGCTGACCAGCAAACCACTCATAAAGAAAAAGGTGTCGACGCTGAAGGCTCCATTCGTGATGGTCTGAAAGAGGAATCTCTTCTCCACTATTTTGCGATACTCCATGTTATCCGAATACTTAAAGATGACGATGCACGTGTGCCCAAGAATGACCCAGGCCATCGATATCGCCCTGATCCCGTGCACGGTGCTGATGGTGTCTCCGCCCACGTTACGGTCGCAGATGACTCTCAAGTTGGTTATAACGGAGAACGAAAGTAGAAGTTCCTCGAAGACGCCTGAGAAGATAATGAGACGTTGAGAAAGATTCATTTTTTCGCAAGAATAAAATGGAATTAACGAAAGGGAACAAATGAGAATTTATTCTGTAAAATCGCGTACTTGTAATTTAAAAAAAAAATGAGTTTATAATTATTGATTTTCTTTTATATTTAATTAATATAATGTAATTTTTAGAAGAAATAATTAAAAATTAATTATAAAATTTTATTATATTGCTAATTGTAAGTTCAAGCCAGTACGTTGGAAGTAGAAGACTGAAATCTTTAATTACTAATTTTGAGAATAGATTTTTAGGTTAAAGAAAAAAATTTGGGAAAAAATTAATTTATTGCAGTTCTTACTTCGTCCATTTTTATAGCGCATAATCTTTGTGTGTTTTAGTATAATATAAATATTTTTATATTTGGCAGATATACGAAAGTTTAACGTACTAAGTTGTCCTTCCGTGGTGGATGGCTGCGAGTCATTCTCACGATCGTTGTTATTATTAATCTGCTGCACACCGTTGCTGCTAGAATCTGCCACTGGAACAGGAAGGTAGACCTTACCTTGAAAAGCTACGGAATATAATAATAAATTGCGTCACTTTTGATACCGTCCTTGTCTTTGTCTTGATAGTCAGTGAGTAGTAGTCTCTATCTTAGCCTGTGCTTTAATTTAGCCTATGGTTTATCTCACGATGCATTACGCCAATTGCATTTCGTAATTATGGCATCTTTTACAATTATCGCAAGACGGATTATTACCGATATAGTGAGCTGACAGCAATTCTCTTTATAAAGTAGTTATTATATTGTTGCTAAAACACGCCTCTTTTGGTCTTTTGTCGTTTAATCCTAATTTTTACAATTCTCATCTTTGTTTTGTAAAGCATGTCTTTTTGCATTTACTTTTTTCCATTTATTTGTTTGTTTTTGGAATTGATTTTTTTTAAATTCTTAAAGGCTCATATGTGTGTGTGATTAAACTATCAATACATAAGACTATAACTATTAATACAAATAATAACATATGTTTCAGCTTGAATATCCAGCCAACATCTATATTTTACACTGAAGATGGCTTGACAGTCAAGCTCAAACGTATTATTTGTATTGACATACATGTTTTTCTGCACGTACATCCAGCAACGACTCTTGTTGCCCTTTCTTATTGTATTGATTTTTTTAAACAAAATATTTATATATTATTAATTTGTCTAAGTTGTAACATTAAAAATAAAAAAATTTTATGAATTAAATTGTAAAATTGTATTTTGCATTCAATTTTGAATATATCTTACTTAATAAAATTCAAGATTTAATTACAAAATTTAAAAATTTGAAATTTATTTATAAAAAATGTTTAATGTTTAATAGTTTTAATTATTTTTTAATTGGTATTTATCCCGTCTCATGGTGTGAGTAATAACAAATGAATATAATAATCAAAAAGTTCTTGATTTTTGAAACCTTTACCATTTAGTTTTTGATTGCCATTAGTAAGATCATCGAATTTTCCGTGCTTCTCTAAGTCGTAGATTACATTTTTCTTGCGGGTTACTTTATTTAATAAATAATAATCATATCCAGTGCCAAGGATCATCAATATCGAAACTATTACGCTGACACCGCTGAAACACAACAAAGTTTTATTTTCGGCGTTTGCACGAGCCTAATTGACTATCATAAAACTTTATTTTCAGCATTTCAATTTGAAAACATATTAATGTTAATAATAACAATATATATTTTATGTGTAAATATACTATATTATGTAATATATTATTTAAGATATGGCTTGTCTGCTATTTTTAGTGATAGTCAATTAGTTAACACTTAAAGTGAATACATTTTTTTGGCACCGCAATATTGAACACGTGGTTCACGTGGCGTACGGGCCAATTTTTTCACTAAAAGATCACCTGAAAAATTCTGAAAAAAATGTTAACATATTCTTTGAAGTCTAAAGTAAGATTTTATACCATAAAGTTTAAGAAAAAATAAAAAAATTAATTAATTAATAAATTTTGGTTTTTCTAAAAATCGATAAGTTAGAAACGGTCTGGACACGAATGATCCAGCCCACACGGAACAAAAAGCTCTAATGGATATCCACTAGATGTCCATTATGGAGATTCGAAACCTCTATTAAATGTCTATGTAATCTCCTATAAATGTTTACTAGACATCCACAGTTCCGCATTACATACCTCCATTCAACATCCATTAAATATATTCATAGATATCATATGGAGCAATCATAGATATTCCATAGATATTTCATAGAGCTGATAGATTGTAGTTTCAATTCGTCATTAATAAAATTATTTGGAAGTAAAGTCACAAATATGATTGCGAGATAGTCTTGTTTATATAGGTGTTAACAAAATGTCACGACTGTGAGACAGTCGAGAACTGTGAGACAGTCGAGAACATGGTGACATTCTGTTAACACCTACATAAACAAGACTATCTCGCAATCACATTTGTGACTTTACTTCCAAATAATTTTATTAATGACGAATTGAAACCACAATCTTTCTACTAAACAGATTTGTAACGTTAACACTGAAGATGGCTGAATGATCAGCCGAAACGTTTGACATCAACGATGCCCTAACAATATTCGTTACTATGGATACTGATACTTCTATCAAACATCGATAACAGATGTCTAATAGACATTTATGATGGATTTATATCGTCATTTATCATGGAAATAATATGGATTTCTAATAGAAACCTATCCAATATCCATCGTAGAGATAGATGTAGTATGGAGTTATGGAGATTATATGGACGTCCATTGGATATTATGTTCCGTGTGGGAGGTGTTCACTTTAAGTGTTAAATATTCAATTCTTTTCCGCAAACTTACAACAAAACCCAGAAAACTGGATCCGTGTACATATCATACGGATTGTGCTGATCTCTAACTTTTTCTATAGCCGAGTGTTTAATTGCAAATTCGCCTGCGGCAAGTTTGCCAATTATGGCGACGTCGGAAGCAGAGCATGAAAATGGCAAACAAACGCCAAGATGAATCAATCTTGTCTGAAACAAAATAGATTTATAGCTTTTAGAATTAAATTTTGCATAAAATATTGTATAATTATTACAAAAATTCTTTGTAAATCCAAAATCAGCATATTACAAGTATAAAAACAATGTTTTTATTTGTAAGTACAGAAATAAATTAATCAATTCTATTTACTGATGTATATCGGGATGCGTTTATGGAAATCCTCATCATATAGAATCCCAAATGATAAGGTGGTATATCAGAAAAATTTGCTTCGGTCAATGTATCTTTTCCGCTAAAACCCACATTGACCTTTTTTCTTGGTTCCGCATTAAATTCTCGCACTTCTTGGATCGATAATTCCGCAGCAATTTTGGAATGTTTTTGAATATATTTTTGCCCGATGTAATCACATTCGGTGGCTGATCCCGTGAAATATGAGTTACCCCAGAAGAACCCATTGGTAAATCTTCCCGATGCGTCGTCCACTAATAAAATAAAATAAAATTAATAATAAAAAATGACTTTTTATTTATTAGAAAAATATCGTTTCTTTGTAGACATAAAAACATATAAAAACAATAAATAATGAAATTTTTAATAATAAAGTAAAAATAACAATTATTGGGAAACGGTTTTAACTTTTTTATTGAAATATTGAAAAATGATTGTGTATGTAATATACAGAGCACAAATAGTTGACATATTTTAATTTTTAATTACAGCTTTATTTTACATCAAATAAGATTGTAATTTTAGGTATGTGTCCTTGAAAATTTATTTCACGGTATGTTCGATATGGCTTTTATCCCAGACAGCACACATGTCCAAAATACATCCAAAGGGTATCCAGAGGACGTCTTGTACAGGGTCGGATTTAGACCGTAGGGGGCCCCTAAGCACTGGCTTTAAAGAGGGCCTTTTTAACATAACTAAACCTAACATAAACTAAGTCATGGGAAAGACAAATATAGAAAACACAATAGACAAGTATGCATTAAAATTTATTTTAACATTTTTTCTGTATATACCCATACAGCACAAAACATTGCAGCAACATTGCGGCAATATTGCAATGTTCTTGCAATGTTGCTAGAATGTTGCAATATTGCCGCAATGTTGCTGCAATATTCTGTGCTGTATGGGTAAAGACTGTTTATCTATTTAAAATTTTGTTTTCTGCTTTTAATTGTTGAAAATTGTTCAATAATTTCATTAAAAAATATAGCTCGTAATTTATCGTTTTCTATGGACATTAATGTTAAATCTACTAACCTTTCTTGAGTCATTGTCGTACGCAAATAATTTTTTATTCGTTTTAATTTTGAGAAAGATCTTTCTCCAAAACAATTTGTCGCCATTAAAGATAAAAATAAACGTAAAATTGCTTCCACATTGGGATACGCGGTTTGAATTTTATCTTGAAAAATTAATTGATATAATTGTTCATGACTTAAATATTTTCTTTTTTGATAAACTTGTTTTACGTAAGTATGAAAATGTTTTATTTCGTTGGAAAAATCATGTTGGACATCTTCTGGAAATTCCTGTTTTAGAAAGAGTAAATTTTTTTGGATTTTTTTTTCCAATGCATCTAAGTTTATCAAAAAAGAAAACATGTTAGATACATTTTTATAAATTAATGCTCTTTCTTCCAAATTTCTTTTCAGTGCATCAATCATTGGAATAAAAGACTGCATTTTAAATTTATCTCTAGGAGAAAAATTTTCTGCAGCATCAGGGGCATTACTATCATTAACTTGCTTCCTTCTTTTTATTTTTCGTGTTTTCGCAGATTTATAATCAACATCAGGAAGTTTTTGTTTTGCCTGAGACTCGATGTCATCAAAATCTTCCCGGATATTTTTCACAAACTGAGATAGTGCAGAGTAACCTACACAGCATGGAATGTCGTCAGAATGTTGCCAGAATATTACATTTAAAATCTGAAATATTCTGATAATAATCTCAAAAATATTCTAGCAATGTTAGCAGAATGTCTTATGTCCGCACTTGGCAATATTCTGGAGACATTCTGTAATATTCTGGCGATATTATACAGACATTCTGAAGACATTTTGTAACATTGTGGCAATATTCTGGATATATTCTGAAATATCTCCAATATGTCTGCATAATATCGTCACAATATTATACGTACGAAATAAAATCTCTCCATCAGTAGTCGGTGGCATATATATGTGGAACGTATATTGCAAGGACACTTTCATTGAACAACCGTATATTATGTAGACCAACCGTCATTATGAGGCCGGTACTCATAATATTTTATACGCAACGTATGTTATGTAGACCGGATTTCACAATTTCTTTATCGAATTTCGTACATTATGAGTACCATTTTTAAAAATATACAGAACATGCATTATGAGGACCTCTTTATTTATATATACTGTATATTGTGAAGACCATATAAGCTTACCTATGAATAGGAGACACGAAAAAATCACACAAGACACCACGAGTCATGAGACGCACCATACACGATGAAACAAAACTAAAACAATGAAAAAAGCGGGAAGAGTGGAAGACTAGTTTTGTGATTCGTCGCGCCGCGGGCACTCGTTACGGGAACTAGGTTATTATGACGCACACATAATGCTCGCGTCGATATGTATATTATTAGGCCCGACGCTATGGCTGGCTGGCACATGTATACGCGCACTGCCACGCTTCTCTCAAATGTTTAAAATTAAAAAGATGCATTTATTTCGCAAACACATGTACTATATATACAGAGTATATGTAAGTTCAGTAAAATAAAACTTTATTCAAAATGTACCTGTAATACGGATTTTTATTATATATTTTTGCAAATTATTTTTTTCTTATACCAAATGTCGCCAGAATATTATTTACATTTTAAATCTGAAATATTCCATATACATATATACAAAATACAAAATATTAAAAAATAATAATTATTAATTCAGTTATTACAAATTCATTGCATATATATTTATTTTAATATATAACTTTAGCCGTGATTTGATTATGAGTTCAGAGAAAGAAAATCATCATAAAATATGTGTATTGCTCTCATATATATATTAGAGTTCACAATTATAAGTAATTATATATATCGCGCGAATATTATACATGTGTAATATTTTAAACAAATCAATTTCACCAAAATACATCATTTATGATATTTATTTTATTTCGACTAGTTGAATAATATATTGTAAATGTAATATTTGAAATAGAATGTAGCCAGAATATTTTATATGAGACATTTATAAAGATTTCAAGCAAAACCCCTCCAGAATATTGCAAGAATATTGCAAATGTAATATTTCAAATAGAAAGTCTGTAGAATATTTCATTCGCGACATTCTGAAATATGTCAAATAGAATGTTGCCAGAATATTTCATATGAGACATTTAGAAAGATTTCAAGCAAAACGTCTCTGGAATGTGGCAGAAATATTGCAAATGTAATATTCTAAATAGAAAGTCTGTAGAATATTTCATTCGCGACATTCTGAAATATGTCAAATAGAATATTGCCAGAATATTTCATATGCGACATTTAGAAAGATTTCAAGCAAAACGTCTCTGGAATGTGGCAGAAATATTGCAAATGTAATATTTTAAATAGAATGTCTGTAGAACATTTCAAATAAAATATCCTACATGTAATATCTCTAGATGTTTGCAAAAATATTTCAAATGAAATATTATGTACAAGACATTTGAAATATTCTAGCGACATTCTGGTAACATTCCATGCTGTGTGGGAAAGTTTTGCAGTTGTGCTTATTGTTATTTCTGCATTTTGGAGAGCTTTAGATGTTTTGTCGAACTCATTCAATAATTTTTCCCAAAATTCTAACATAAAGACGAATTCGAACTCCTCCATTATGTTAATCAGAGTAGAAGCCTGATTTCGATATTCCCCGCTTTCATTTTCATCTTCAGCAATATGGTACAGAGCAGCAATAATTTCATTGTAACCTCTAACTACCACTGAAGTAGCTTGTGCATGAGCATTCCATCTTGTATCAGAAAGTCGTTTAAGTTGTAAAAAATATTTATTTTGCTGCAAATATTCATTCAAGATTGACCAATGCTTCGGCGATGCTGAGAAAAATACGTACAACTCTTGAATGGTAGAAAAAAATCGGACAGCTTCAAGACACGAATCAACTGCAGAGCATCCAACGAGATTCAATGAGTGGCCAGCACAAGGAATGTATATAACGTATTTATTTTCCTCGCGAATTTTAGCTTGCATTTCTTTATATACTCCGGACATGTTAGCAGCGTTGTCATAAGATTGGCCTCTACATTTACTAAAATCGATTTGGCATTTATCTTTTAAATATTTTAAGACAACCTTTGCTAAATTTTTGCCAGTATGACTTTTTATGTCAAGATATGTTAAAAATCTCTCAATGGGTAATCCACTATCCGGTGATACATATCGAATAATTATAGCCAGTTGGTCAATATGTGATAAATCTGGCGTCGAATCAACAGAGATACTAAAATACCCGGCAGTTTTTATATCTTGTAAAATCGATTCTTTAATTTTTAAGGCCATCAAATGGATGACTTCATCACATATTGTTTTGGATAAATAGGATGATTTTCCAGCACCACTATTACCGTATTGTCCAATATGAGTCGCAAGAAATGGATCATACCTTGCAATTAGTTCCAAAATTCCTAAATAATTGCCATTATTTGGTGAGCCGAATTTTTCTTTACTTTCTCGGAAAGCTAAGCCGCGTTCTGTTAAAGTACTAATAACGTCTATTACTCGATGTAAAACTTGTTTCCAATATTCTTTTTCTTGAATAATTTGCATGCCAAGTTGTAAATCCAAATTCGATTCACGTCTCCTCGTTAAAAATGAAAACAGAGCATTTCTGTGGTCTTCAGAATTTTCGTGTTGTTGAATACAAATTAGATTACGCCAGTCACTGATACCTTCGTTTGCAAGAGATGTTGACGATGCAGAAAATATTTTACATACGAAACAATAAACACATCCCGTTGCAGGAGAGTAAACTAACCAAACTCTATATCATATTTTTCTCCGTTAACTTTTGTTCCGTGAAAAATATTTTTAGAGCAATATCTAGAAGCATTTGTGAATTCTCTCTTCGATTTATCCAATCCAGTCCATTGCGATGTTGACAGTCTGAAGGTCCCTTCTTAATCCAGTAATCAACATCCGTTTTAGACAAATGACTCCAAAGACCAACATCAAAACACTGAATATTTTGCAACGATTTTGAAAGGATATTATCATTATTGGTATTGGGCATGTCATTATCCATTTGATTTTTCTCAACTGCATTTGTAGATATTTCAGCTGTCTCTGAATTTAAATCAGTGTCTTCAAACGGATCCTGCATGTATATTCAAAATATAAATGCTACGTTATCTTTCATTCCATTAAGTTAAATCACTCCAAATTTAAAGTGTAATGTTTTGTCAAGTGTATAAAATATGAAGT